ATTCCTTTTTTTTCCCTGGGTATTGGTTTGTTCATTTACAAGCCAATACACGTAAGGTTTATCCGGATAAATATAATTACTTATATTCAGACTCGATTTGACTCAGTGAATAAAAGCGTTTATTGAAGTAATCCAGTCACTTGACCCGAACATATTGAGTTGGGATATTAGTCACAGCTGAAGTGAACTCTCCAAGTTTAACATGAAGAGCTTTTAAGTATAGAAAATTATGAAATTAGTCGATTCCGCTACCTTGGTTTCAACCTTACGGTATCTTCAGGCGATTTCGGTCAATTGATTTCCTAAGGCTTTATTTTTTTTGTTTTTTAAAATAATGAAGGTCTTATTATTTAAAAATAAATAAATAAACGCATTACGTGAAGTGTGATATAAGCGAGGGGAGGAAAATGAAGGGGAGGAGCAAGAGGAATGTAATTTCATTTGAAATGTATCGGTCGGTCATGATGCAACGGGTCATAATTTACGATCTCTCATTCAAAAGGCTTTTTTGCTCTTTTCTTGTTGACAAATGTTGCAGATATTACTTTTTTTTTTGGGGGGGGGTCTTGTTTGGGGGGGGTGTTTTTTTTAATTTCATAAACACTAAAAAGTTCCTTTCAGTGAATGAAAAGAAAGTATGTATATTTCGGGATGAAAAGAAAGTATGTATATTTCATTTAACCCACGGCCGATACATTTCCAATACCCTTGCTTTTCTACTTCTCCTGCCCTTCTATGACACTTCACGTTGCATGTTTATTTATTTATTTTAAATAATTTTTCTTTTAAAATAACGAATATTTTATCATATATATATATATACATTATGAAATGGACAAAGTTTATACTAAACAGTATTAAACAACATTTACCAGCCTGAATGACGGAGGAATTTTCATAGAAAATAGTCGCCCTCTGACAGGAATCGAACCTGTATCCTATACGGAATCGTCATATAGCCTGGTGTGCCTTTAACCGACTTGGTCACAGAGGAGCGTTCGGTTAGCAAGGTCGATTTTACTGTCTTTAAACTAAAATCTTCTATGATCATCTCACGTACATTCATATCTGCTCATGGCGTATCCAAATGTAAACTAATGATTTCACACATTATGAAATGGACAAAGTCCGACAATTATTTTAAGATTATTTCTTGGACATTCAGGCCGGTAAATGTTTTTTAATATTGTTTATTATAAACAGAGCATTTACTTAAATATTTGTATTTAAAAAAAGTATGTATAAACATAAAAATGTCTTTAAATAATACGGTATGTTTTTGTGGATACTCAGATTTGAGTAGTGGTAATGTTTATTTTTTTAAAGAGGATATATATATATATATATATATATATATATATATATATATATATATATATATATATATATAAATATATATATATATATATTAAACCCTAATATTCCATGGTCATACTTTATTCCATTAGAATCGAAAATACGATTGTATGTCTGATGAATTGGATCGTGATTACGATTCCAATGGAATAAATTATGACCATGGAATATTAGTGTTTAAGCCTTTTTATTATATCCTTACTCTGTCCTGGACATTGAGTTCTACCTGGATTCTATCCTCTTGGAATTATTCTTTATATATATATATATATATATATATATATATATATATATATATATATGTGTGTGTGTGTGTGTGTGTGTATGTATGTATGTATATATATTTATATAGTTTAGATATATGGTTGCATGTGTATATTAAATATTAACCACTAATATTATCTCTCTCTCTCTCTATATATATATATATATATATATATATATATATATATATATATATATATATATATAATTTAGTCAACCAGCCTAAATATCTATATTTAAGCCCAATACACACACACACACACATACATATATATATATATATATATATATATATATATATATATATATATATATATATATATTAATAAAAATGAATATCCTGTGCGTCACTAGATATTTTTCGATGGCGAAGCAACAGTAACCCAGGGTACTACACGATTCTGTTGGTTGTGGGTGATAATGAAAGTATATGAGATGAAAATGCAGTCTCATCATCTGTCTCTATTTTGAATTCATGACTTTAGAATTCATAAATTTCGTCGCCATGTCCCCAAAAACATGAAAAATTAAGAAGCACGAACTGTGAATATAAATTTCAGCTGCGAAGCTGAGACAACTTTCTGCATTGTCACATCAAAAATGGCTGATGCTTTTCATTTTTTTGTTTTCAATTCGTGATGAAGAACAAATGAATCTAGCAGTAATAATAACATGTATTTGTTTTTAATGATAGGAATCAGTTTCAAATATAATTAATTAGCATTAGAATACATGTCAAACCATTAATAATCACTGAAAATGTTTTATCACATAATAAAGTAAAGAAACGTGTAATGATAGATAGATAAGATAGATAGATAGATAGATAGATAGATAGATAGATAGATAGATAGATAAAGAGAATGATACATACCAACATATATATCTTGCGCTTGATACAAATAATCTTACATAACTAGCTACCTAGATAGATAAGTATGATACATACACACATCTATATATAGTAATAGATGAAAATAATATTAGATAGATTATGACCAGGCTGAAATAGATATGGTTAGACGAAGATATGAATATATATAATATATATATATATATATATATATATATATATATATATATATATATATATATATATATATATATATATATATATATATATATGTCTGATGAAATGGATCGTGATTACGATTCTAATGTAATAAATTATAACCATGGAATATTAGTCTTTTAACCTTTTACTCTTGCTCTGTCCTGAACATTTAGCTCTATCTGGATTCTATCCTCTTGGATATATATATATATATATATATATATATATATATATATATATATATATATATATATATATATATATAGATAGATAGATAGATATCGTTCAGAATCTTACCTTTAATAAGTTTTCAGAAGCGACTGCTTGACTGGTCTTACAACATATGTTAATTTATACACTCATTGCAAATATGAAAAAACAACATATGATAATTTATACACTCATTGCACATATCAAATTCGTACTCATAAAACTGGATAAGTCTTTTTTTTTTTAAATTCCTATCTAGGAGGGAGAGAATCGATTCACAAATGCCTTAAAACCTATTCGTTCTTTTCACGTGGGACCCATCTGTGTACTTCACCTTCTCCAGCGACTATACCAACATTTTCCGTTTGTTTATTTGAGTAATATTCTATGCGTTCTTAGCGTTGTTGAATGAGACGATCTTCGAAAACTAGGCTGGAAAAGATTTTATTTCGAACCAGTAGAAATACAAGGCATCAAATTCTTCCTTCCCCAAAACCTCATACCAATTCACAGATATATTTAAAAAAAAAAACATTTCGGTTAATCTTAAGTGAGATGCTATTTGAAAAAAAAAGAAGAAAGTCTTACTACCTTACGATCTTAGAATATTTTGTTCTTTGTTTCTCCACTTATCAATATATATCATTTTGTTAATATCTAGCTGTAAGAATATAATACGATCGATATTAAGTTAGCAGTATACATAAATATTTCTCTATGTAACCATTGCTTAAGTTGAGTTCACACACACAACGGGAATACACACTATACTCCGATGCCCGCTTAGATATACAAGAATCTTCGAAAACTATCTACGGTTTTAATGAACGTGATACGTGGCTTCTTCTTATTATTATTGTTATTATTATTTTTATTATTATTATTATTATTATTTGGGCTCACTGAAGTCTGGTATCTTCTGCCTTTCAGAGAGGAAGTGATACCAAGCCTCTTAGCACTTCCCTCTGTAGTCTGTGTGTGTGTGTGTGTGTGTGTGTGTGTGTGTGTGTGTGTGTGTGTGTGTGTGTGTGTGCGCGCGTGTGTGTGTGTGCATGCGCGCGTGTGTGTGTGTGTGTGTGTGTGTGTGTGTGTGTGTGTGTGTGTGTGTGTGTGTGTGTGTGTGTGTGCAAAAAATTCGAAAATATTTAAGCCAGATAACAATAAAAGAACAGGAATTAAAAAGACAAAAGACAACGATTGACATCGTAATTAAATTATTGAAGTTGACTGGAAAGTAAGTAGCCTGAAGAATTCCCCAAACAAGAGGTACGCGAGAAGAAACTGTTAACATAGAACTTACGGTTATATCTAACCATTTGGACTGTAAAGTAATGAAACATAACTAGTAACCTAGTACTGCGCTTAAATTCGTAAAGTCGATGTACCAAAAATTAACGGTCATCAGAGAAATTACCATGAACGAATTAATAAAAAAAAAAAGACAAAAGGAATCTATATTAGGACGGTGGGAAAGTGACTGAAGCCGAGATCCCTGGTTAGAAGTGATAATATTGCAGATTCTTTATCAATAATCTCTCTATATATAGCAGGAAAACCAGATCATATGCGGCAGCAATATTCAAGGTGTGGACGAATGGTAGACTTAAAAATGTGTAAAATAGATTCTGACAAGAAAAAAAAATGTCTAACACGATACAATTAGCCAAGTTGCTCCCCAGCAGACTTAGCAATTGATTCAATATATTCTTTCAACCTCAGGCGGATGGAAAACGTTAACCCCAGAAATAAGTTACTCTCCTGCGAGTTAGCATCAGCCATATTGATGAAATTCAAAAATGGTTTTCTAAGACGATAGTGAAACGTGTTCAGTTCACAAGAGAAGGCTCATGAGAAAACCAAAGGCTCTCTTTTCAAGTTTTCCCTATTCACATGCTATATTCGTGGAATGTTGGACATTAAACAGTGTATTTTAAGTCCTGTTCAGTCAAAGTGGGTCATTTTCCACTGTGAGACTTGTCGAATATGTAACGATCGCCATGTTTAAACAAGGAAAACTATGTTTTAAGTGCTGCTTTATTCAAAGTGGTCTATTTTCCAGCGCGAGGTCTGACGTATATGTAACAATCGCCATGTTTAAACATTTCAAACTACATCTAACATGAACCACCCTCCATTGGATCCATCTACACAACACGAATGTCACAGTTTACCATTTCCGAACTCACACTATTAGTAAAAGCGATTATTTTGAAGTTATTCTTCTCTATTAACTGTTAAATGTATTATAAATGAAAGGCAAAGAGCTGATAATTTTATCATCTCCGATAAGGTTTTGGTTAGTTGACTAAGAATTAATCGCAGTCAAATATGTAATTGCTTTCCAAACTAATATATACATGTCTTCTTTTTCTGTGTTCCTTCAGGAGTTGGACGGTAATGGCTCTCCACAATATCCTCTCCATTGTGGCTCTTTGTAAATCTCGTTAGGCCAGATCCTAATCCCTGCATTGTTCAACCATTTGCTCTCTTAGGCTTATCTTGTCTCTCTCTCTCTCTCTCTCTCTCACTCTTACCTTCCGTATACCTTGCCAGTGTAAAACTTTCCAAGCCCTCTTTTCTCATATTTCTGTGAAATTAAAATTGTCTTTTCTGATGTTAAGTATATGTGTTCTTTTTAGTTTCATTTTCTTTAAAACTTCTTCATTGTTCACATGTGCAATTCTCAGCATCCTTCTGTAGAAGCTCATTTCTATTACCTTAGCCCTCTTTTTCATCTGGAAACAGATTGTTCACCATTCGCTGCTATATAGGTGGACCGATATTACATTACAGTTAGGCAATCTTTTCTTTGTTTCTAAGAACACTTCCTTGTTGTTTCTTAATATTTGCTCAGGTTTTGCAACGCATTTCCGCTGCCCCAGCGCTTCTATGTAATTCGATGTCACATTTTCTACCATCTTTAAAAATAAAACTTCCTAGATATTTAAATTTCTATACTTGCTGGATTTTGAGAATTTGCAACTCGCATGTTGGACATTTCTCCTTTTTTTTCTGACTTCTATATATTCTGTCTTCTTACAATTGGCGTTTATTTCTTTCCTCTCGCTTTTCCTTCATTATCTTTTGTTCCTGGTATTTTGCTTCCTGTCTCAACTATTAAAACTGTATCGTCTGCATATCTAATGTTGTTAAGACTGTCCCCGTATTTATTAACCCTGGTAGGATTTAAAACTCTAAAAATCGACTCAATGTATAGTCTGAATAAGTCTGGTGAGTAGACACATCATTTTTCGCATTCCTCTTTCTATATTTACTGAATTATTTTTCCATCCGCATACAGGTGGTCTGCTTCCAGTTTCTGGATTATTCGAATATCCTTCCCAAATATATCAAGCTTACCTAGCAGTTCAAGTAGTTCTTCGTGACGTATGTGATCAGATCCTTACACTTGTGATGAAAATAAAGCATTTATTTACAGAACGATTCGCCTAATGTCCACCTTTGACAGGGTATTTAATTCAGAAGTGGATACTAACGATATACAAAATTTACACTATTTATTCGGACTATTGTCCTCATCTTTATTGCCATATTCACGATGTTTCGGCCGTTGTACGCTTCGGGCAGCTTCAGGTCATATTTTTTGGAATTTCGAGTTAGATTGTTCTATTTCTATGTGCCTTTTCTTTTGGATGACCAAATTCTAGTTAATCCCCTCCGTAAATCAAATCTCCATGTTTTTGTTCCCCCTGCTTTGTCCAGGTGTTGAACTCGCAACACTTTCGGTCATGTCACTTTTAGAACAATCAACCTCAATACCTGGCCACAGCAGAAAACTTGGCGAGCTGAGTTACCAAGCAGAATTAACTCCAACTGAGATATCAAAAAAAAAAAAATGGCATGGCACGTGGAATTAGAATAATTTACTTCTGTAGACTGCATAAAGAGTTCCGTTCGAGATTCCAACGTATATCACCTGAAGAAGGCCGAGGCGTAAAACGGCCGAACGTCGTGAATATCGCAATAAAGATGAAGACAAGAGTCCGAAAAATGCAAATGGCTTAGATAGTCACAATATCGCATCTCAGAATCCAAAATTATAGAATACAAATTAATGCTGAAATTACAGCCGATGACAGTGCCATCCTATACATTTATTGAACATCAAATAGATAATAAAACTGAAGCAGTTAAAATTATCATTACCATTTCACAAACCATCCAGTCAGTAAGCGAATTTTTGCAGAAATCTTACATATCTATAAGTCTATCATTCTTTCCATGCTTAGAATAATGCTGCCACATATGGTCAGGTGCTCCTGCTATATATCTAGAGATCCTTGATAAAAATTCAAAGAAAGATCAGCAATATTATTGGTCATAATGTGGCCTCTCGGCTTCTATCCCAACACCTCTGACATTTCTATAAATACTTTCATGGTAAATGTTTGGATGAGTTCTTCGCTACGGTTTATTTTTAAGGAATTTTTTTCCCGCTTAGACTTTATTCTATAGCAACATGACGGTTTAGTCCTTTCTTCTTGCTTTTCTTTAATTACCTTCTGTAGGAGTTCCTGGTATTTTGCTTTCAGTGTTAACTATTAATACTATGTCATTTGCATATCTAATGTTGTTAAGATTGTGCCTGCAAATAA